ACTTGGATTCTCCCAGTGCTGAATTTAAGACCCCAAAATGCTTCAGGTTTTACCATCTTAAACTCACTATTTATCTTGAGGCTGACTTAATTAAAATATTATATACTCTCGGGCATATTAAACATGGCAATTTATTGTACTTCTTATTAATGGAGTGTATTTAATGAGTTTTCAGAACCAACTCCTTCCCCTGCAACACACAATGTTGATTTTTATTGGGTACATAGAGGGAAACATGAAGATAGTTTGATTTTCAGGAGGTGCCCAGCACTGACAGCTGCCCTTGGCTCCTGTGGTATTCAGCCAGAGAAATGCTGCACCTTTGCAGCTTGGCAAGCACAGCATAATTCCTCCTTTCCCTCTCTGCTTCAATTTCCACAGAAGTGTTCTGGACTTGAGCGTAAAATAATGCCAGATTCTGCTTATAGCTTCAGCTTTTTGTATTGTTAGAGTTCTAGCAAGTATTTCTTAGTTGTTATTGATGTTGTTCATTGATGGTGTCTGCCACAAGGTGTGACAGTACATAAACACAGTTATTATCTGTCTCTCTTGAACTGTCTGCACTGCCTACTTAGCATCTCTTGCCAGAATTGTTAGCTTCTTTTTTTCCCGTTTTTACTTTAATGTAAAGTAAGATATTTGTTAGCTACTTATGGCTGCTCTGAGCTTCTTGTTACTCAATAAAAAGTATGACTCTCTTCTGAAAGCAATTGGGAAAATAAAGCTGTAAGGTGCAATTTTAAGATTAATATTAGTCTGACCATGACCAAGAAATCACACAGCTTGAGAGGAATTTCAGTATTATTGTTATACTCTTAATGTGGGGTGGCAGAGCCTTTAAATATTTCTGGTAGAGTAGTTAATACAGCATGGAAGTTTGATATTTGTACAGTTTGTAAAGGAATTTGAGGTGTTACCCTATTTTGACTTCAGTTTTCAAGTATGCACTGGTGCATCATTAATCATAGGAAATGCAAAAATAAATAATATAGTCCCTTTGGATTTTTCATGTGAATACTTACCTTTTCCTTTTTTTGTATATACAGTTGAGGTATTTAGGTAACCCCTAACCTTTTGCTTCAACAAGGAGGTACAGTATAAAAATATTACCACAGTCTTCATATGAGCAGTTCTCTCTAAGAAAACCTCTAGATGAATATTTATTGAAAAAAAGCAAAGTTGCAACACAGAATGACTTAGCTTGGCCTGAATATTATATTTTAGACCACCAGTGAATAAAATTAAAAGCACATGGATTTTGAATAACTAGAAAAGGTTGTAATTGATTAGCACTGCATGAAAGTATTGAAGTGGAGTGAGTTTTGATTTGTGAATGGTCCTATTCAATAGAGATTAATCCTCTATGTTTGATAAAATCTTAGTGCCCCTAATGAGATAGGATTTTTTTCCTCTCCCAGTTTATTTAACCACCAGATACTCTGATACTCTCCTAACAAACTGGAACATTTTGATCTTATAGAATTTTACATCGGCGTAGTTGATTTAGACAATGTTGGCTATTAATAGTTCATTTGAGGCAGCTAATTAAACAGATCAGTGCATTTTGCTGCCTACAGACGTTGTAAGTGATGAGGAGCAATCCTGCAGGGTTTGGGGCTTTCAGATAACGGCAGCCTCTGTAAAAAAGCCGCAGCTTTTTTAATGCACGTGAGAATACTCATTCCTGCATAGTTTTCAGTATTATTATTGTTATTTAAAAATCCTGGTATTTTAAATTATATTTTATGCAAAGAGCAGTGATTCCTGAGATTTTGCTTAGCGTTCACAATAGTATGAAAACGTTAAACAGAGCTGGAACATACAGAAAACTGCTTTCTATACAGAGATAATGAAAAAGGATTTGTTTCTCTCTTACCAGTCTCCTAATTAAAATTAAACAAACCCTTTAAGATTCCCTACTAAACAGTAAAGCAGATGAAAATTGAAATTTACAAAAGTTTTGGCATTTTTTGATGAAGAAGATACCGAGGAGTATTTTAATATAAGCAGAACTTGAAGACTTTAGATTTCTATATCTCCATTGGGATCAGCTTTCAGAAATTACGTGTGAAATAATTGATTGAATTATCAGCTAAACTGGGATCCTATTTCCTTCTTTCATTGGATTCTTCTTCTGAAATGCACAGAATATAGTTGAAGATGCCTTTTCCTATTTCAAAATTGTAATTGTTTTTGGAGGCATTTGAGAACGTTTTCAGTATCTGAAATACTTTGAGTAAACAATGTTTTCCAAATTTTATACCAAATATGCTGGGTTTTTTTTGTTTGTTTGTTGTTCTGTTTTTTTTTTTTTTCATAGTGCTTATTTTGAGCCTTTTTTTTCCCTTCAAATATTATGGATGTAAATATAATAGCCTTTGCTGAAATGAATCCCATTAGATTTAAAAGCCTGAGAAGGTTTACACAGGCTGAATGCAGTCAAAACCTGTGTATAAGTGGCACAAGGTAGAGAAAATCTGGATGTGAAACCCAGATTGTAGTTAATTAAAATGTACCCAATTGGAAAGGAATATATGTGTTTGCATGAACTAGGAAAGGATCCTTCCACTTTGCTACTCTTGTTTTTCCCTTTCATATGAAGTCAAAAACATATAGACAAAAATGAGTGGAATAAAAGCTTTCAGGAATATGGTTAATGGCACAGATTAGCAGCCATGAGGGTTAATCATAGCTCTGTTTTCCTGCCCTGTTATGACTTGTCATTATGTTTCATCAGTTCAGTTTTGAAGAGAAACAATTAAACTCAACAGTCCTGAAAGGAATAAGGTAGAGATGGGAAGAGAATGATAGTACAGAAAGGAAGAACAGATCGTGCATTCTGAGGTGCTGCGGCATCATTGAACGGCAAATTCATGAGCAGCTTGGGTATTCTGGCTTTTTTTTTTTTTTTAACAATATATTCTGCCTCCTTTTTATAAAAGTGGGTTTTCCAAAATTTGGTTTTAGCTCAGGTTACACTGCTTACACATTGACAGAGCTGATGATATTTTGTAGTTCCTTGCATCTATTGTTTGTGTCCAAAGTGAAATTCAGGTATCCAACCCTATTTAGTGGAGTTCAGGAAAAGTATTAAGCACAGTATCACAGTATTTCCCCATGGCTTTAGGAATTATCAGAAGTAGGTGAATTAAGCAGTCAGACTTGGTGTTTTGATAATTTTAGCCAACTAAATTTCTTCTAATCTCTTTTGGAAGTAAAAGCAAAAGAAAGTCCCTATACATGTAAACTGTATTTCCTGTTGTAAACACTGGGATAATGTGGTCTGGCTATGCTTCTGCTGTGCTTTGCTCCGACACCAGTTTGGGTAGAAAAGCTGCTTTGCCGGGTCTGTGTTTGCATTTCAGCTCAGTGTTCAGGGTATTAAAGCTGCATGACCAGCCACAGGTCATGTTATCTCATCTGGTATCTATAGGTCATATATTAAATTGGTCACCCTCCTGCAAGAAGCAATTTCTTCATTTCTGTTCCTATACCTGGTCTCAGAGCTTCATGTGCTTAACTGGGAACCAGTCAAAGTGTGTGAAGTAGGAGGGGTAAAAGGCACCCCAGTCACTACAATAACGGGGATGTATGTACTGGAAATGCTTCTAGCATTGTTGTTTTTCATAGGAGGGGGGCAAGGGAGGGAAAGAAATAGGTTTAGCTACGGTCCCAACATAATTTCAACATGACGGACACCATTAAGAAAATCTTGTAAGTTTTCACTTTTTTTTTTTTCCCTAAAGCTTTCAGAATTTTCAGTTAGTCTTTCTGAACTGCCTCAGTAAAAGATGCTTTGAAAAAATTTTGTTACTGTACTTCTTGCAGTTCATCAAGTGTGATGCTAATAAAGCATTTTCCAGTACACTTTAAAATATAACTTCATTTACTTGCAGATAAATCAGTTGAAGTCTTATTTGATTCTATTTAGTATTTGTGAGTGAGATGCTCTCTACTGATTTTAAGTCTCTGAGAGCATGAAGCTTTTCAAAGTAAGCAAAGACAGAGGTGCAATTTTATAGTGTATTTATGAGTTTTATGAGCATTTATATGTACAGTGCATATAAATAATTACTTCAGTATATACATATATGATTTCTTAAAGGAATCTGTGTTTACAGTTCAGAATATTGAAGTAAATATTTGGCAGTGCTCTTCTACAGAGTTTTTTACATCCCACTTTGAATTAAACTTAAAATTCAGCAGCATGTTAGATCATGTATTTTTTATTTCATAGCTTAATATTTTAATGCATGAATGTTTTGCCTTGTTCATAATAAGTGTAATGAGAAGAATTTGCTTTTACAATTGAATATATTATCATACAAGCTTTGCTGTGAAATGAGGGCAACTGAGGACTAGAAAACTGCAGATTTACACTGATAACTTCATCTGAGATATATGTGTAAAAATGAGATGCCTGGAACAATGATAGGGCAGTTTTGGGTAGGATAGGCTGCAGTATGCTACACACTACTCATTTTCATCAGGTTTAGAGAGCAGGCAGTCTGAACCCTGTGATTTAAGTCTTTTACAGTATCTTTCGTTAACCACTCATAGTGGATATATCTAAAAGTGTTATCAGAGTTCTTAATGAGATTTTCTGAGCTGTTGTTGATTAACTCACTAATTACTTTATCTTTTGCCCTGAGATAATATTAAACATTTTGCTAGATCCCATTAGGCTCTTTCAAATTCGTGCAGCTACACCTTGACCCCGGTGACAGCTGAGCACACCTGCTGTCAAACTCTGAGGACTGAGCCACCAACTTCCCTTTGCTCAGCTTGCCAGCTAACAAATTTGTTCTTACATCTGCAGAAGCTATTTACAGTTACTTCCCCCCCACAAAAAAAAAGAGACCCAAACAACCAGGTATACTATTTCAACATTCTAACATCCCATTCAGCATTTCTTTGCTTAGATAACTACAACCAGTATTGTTCAAAGTAAGAAAACTCTCGACAGCGAAAAACAGAAGCTCAAATATTGCAGCACTTACCCCAAAAGAAGTTTTGCTGACATGGTGTCACTGAACTGAACAGGCTGTTTGATGCCATAGTCCCTCTCGGTTCACGCAGAGCTTTCACCTTCTGGTGCAAATACTTCTTGGATCCTCAAACTGAAAACACAAACCATAGCCAAACCTTGTTTTAGTTTTACTGTGTCCCTGGATTGCAAAGACTCTATAGTTGGTTTTTTCTCTGTCAAAAAATTGTGTAGTGCTGGTAACATGTGAAAAGGAAGGCAACAAAACAAAAAAAAAGAGAATGAGCAAATATTTGAAGGACCTACTATTACTGCATAGACTGTGGTTAGAGAGCACTTACTGACTCTGTTGGTCTCAGTGGCTGGTAGTGACCTGCGGAGATTAACCATTTAAAAACCAGAGACTCCTTTCTGTCCTCCTGGAGAAAGTTTGCACCGCACTTGTGGTTCTGTGGTTGTTTGTGAGGCGAATGAAGCATTCACACAATCCAAAAAAGCAAAAGCTTTAAAACTCCTTTTTTTTGCAAGCACTGTTACTGGAGCGAGCAAGTCATGTGGCTGTGACATCAGAGGACTCCAAGTAGGACTGCCTACACTGTGGCTTTTTCTTTCTCTCTCTCTCCTTTTTTTTCCTTTTCTTCTTTTTTTTTTTTCTTTTTAAATTTTTTTTTAAATTTTTTTTTATATTTTGACAAAAGGCTCGTGTAAGGCCCTTCCTGGCATTCAGAAGGACATAGCTTTTTAATTTTTGTGACTCATGAGGCTTTGGAGAGAGTACAAAATGCTGTAAGAGCCCAAACTTCTGTACAGTTAAAGCATATGGACAGCAGAACTTTATTTGTACTCTCAGTTCAGGTTCCCCCCACTCTTCTTCCCCCTCCTTTTTTTTTCTTTTTTTTTTTTTTTTCTCCTCCCATTCCCTCTCCCTCCTTTATTATTGTGTCTGTGGAAAAGTGAGCAAAATTGGCACAAGTGGCTGTGTGAAATTCTGAACAACAGTGATGATTTACAATAATTTACATCTTTGGATTGTATCACGATCTTGGGTCTGCTTCATATTTGCTGGGTGGCTGGATTCCTTCTGTTTTACTTTTTCTCCTTGTCGTCTTATACTTGTGAATCTGTAACTCATTGTAAGAAACTTTACCTTTCCTAAGGTCTAGTAGCAGGCTGCTTGTTGGGGTTGTGTTTTTCACTGTAATTGACTGTCACAGAAGTGTTAGTCTGGGGATTCCTTTGCAAATCTTAAATCATGTCTGCCTTGCTTTGCATGCCTTCAAAACTACTTGGCAGTTTTATGTGATGCAAATTAAGGGCAATTATGTTTCTTTTATATTTGGAGCAAAATATGTCATTTGGATATCATAACTGCTTGTGTGCTGCAGCTTGGGAGTGATGCTTTGGAACACCGGCATTGGGAGGATTTAACGTGGACGTTGTGTAACAGAGTGAGCTGGGAGGGTTTGGTTGTGCTTACATTAATTCCTTATTGTAGTTCTGGTGTTTAAGGGAAATAGAACAGTCTTAAACTTTCGGGGAGACTATAAATAACTTCATTCACCAGTTAATGTTAACACTTAGTTTTAAAATGAAACATAAATTTGATGCATATGTAAGGCTCAAATACTTAATATCATCTGTGTGCATGTGTGTGTGATATTTTTTTATATGCTTAAGATATTGTAACTTTGACTTTGATTGTGTAACATAAGCCCTGACTGTACTGGTGCAGAGTGGGTTAACAAAAGCAGTATTTTTTTGTTTATAATAGAGGCTTTGAAATAAATTGCAAAATGCTGTGTGTAGTAAGGAGTAATGTGCACAGACAGTGTGTATTAGTAGTCTTGATTTGCTCACTCAGATTCAGAACAAAATTGGAAACATCTTTGAGAAAGTATCTCATCTCATTTTTTGCCTCTTTGGACATTATATCTAGAACTTTTCATATTATCCTGATTGTACAACAGATGCACTGTAATTTTAAGTTTTAGCTGAATGAATTCAAATTTTTTCCTTTTTTTTTTTTGTCATTTTTGGGGGGGAGCAGAAGAACCGTGTAAAACATTTTCTAGATATCATTTGGCTTTTATTTGTAAAATAAAATACATCTCTTTGATGCTGCTATCCCTCCTTTTTTGTTTTCTTCTTTGTCCTGAGCTTTCTTGGTTAGAAATTGGCCAGGAATTGTGTGATATGAATAGCTGGAGGTGTGGGTGGGAACCAGGTTCTCTGTTTTTTTTGGGGATGAGACAAATGAGAAGATTTTTTTCATTAAAAAATAAATTGTTTTGATTTTTTTTTTACATAACTATAAAAAATCATAGATCTTGCTTCATAAAAACTTATTTCATAATAATTATTGTGAGGTAAATTGCATTGTTCTTCATTCAATTTTTTGAGAGTTATTACATAGTGCCAAATTTAGAGAATTCTACCATAAAATGAAAAAGGAATGTTCTACAAAAAACCCATTCCACTTAAAAATAAGGGTTATATTTAATTCTCCTATTCATGAATTGCTTTTATTATTGTTTACACTGTATGGTTAAGAGCATCAATGAAAAAATCTTAAGGATATAAAAACAATGAAAAGAATACTAATCTTTTCATATACAGCTTATATTTTTATGCATTAAAGTTTTAATCAATTTATGATGCAGCAAAAGCTTTTGGAGGTTGCTGCCTCTTATTTGGGGAACTCAAATTTAGAGTTTGGAGTTGTCAACTACAGTTACACATTGAAGGTATTGATCAGCTCCTATTTGATGGCAGGTATGCACAGTATTTTTAAATAGTAGATAACTGTTGTCTTGACCTTAAATACTTATTTCCATTGATATGAAAAAAAGTTGTTTGATTTTCAAAACTCTGCCCTTTATTTTTAGTCATATCTTTAGTATTAGAATATTGAGCTTCCTACAGAAGTCTGAATATAAAAGTTTATTGCATTGAAAGGCTGTTCTCACGCTTTCTCCAGAATGGCTTTTTCATGCTTTCACTTGTGTATGCAGAGTTATCCTCTAACTTTGTTGCTGTGCTTTGATCTGATACCTTTAAGATTTTTTTAACTTTTTCACCTGTTCAAATCGAGAGCACTACAGACAAGTCTTCATCTAATAAAGCAAAAGCCATTAAAAACAAAAAAGCAGATACTGTAACTGAGTAATCGAGATGCAGTTTGTAAAAACTGTTACTGATAAAAATGCAGGTTTTTTTTTAAATATAGAAACATTATAACGCAAAACTTTGAGACCAAATACCTGTGAAACTGGTGGTTTCTTCTGGTATAGTTTGCACTTCTGATGACACAGATGCAAGAATCCTGAAAATCCACTGTGTAAATCAGTGTCTTGATTGTAGACTAATGCTTGACAGGCTCTTGTTTAAAGGTAGATCTACAAAAATGGAAGTTCACTTCAGAGTTCCACAGGGGATGCTTTGAGTCCCAATTACACTTACAAAGGAAGTATTATGCTAAGGAATTTCTCTGGTAAACTTTGAGCTTGATCTTTGATGACAAATGAAATCTAAAAGTCAATTGTAATGCAACACTAAAAGATAATTACATCTTCCACTGTTCTTTAAACGTGTTTTGGAACTTTTAAGCTATGCTCTATTTCCAAACATTTTGCCTTATGTCACTCAAAATTTCATCCAGTGTATAAACAGTGTGATGCCCTGCTGAAAGTTTATTTGTACTTAAATGTTTGCTTCTATGCTACAACTGGAATGATATAAATACTCTGCTTAGAGCAGTGTGATGACAAACTTGTTAGATTGCATTTCATTACAAGTTTTACAATATATACAATAACAACATGCTGATTTTTATAATTCAGAAAGTCCTGGTGCAGTTTCCTCAGATGCAGGTATTCACTGTAGGTGTTGTTAACGTATCTGTTTCTACTAGAGCAGGTTTTTTTCTTTAGGTGAAACCTCTTTCCTTGGCTGTGTTTTTCAAACTGAGGAGTAATTATAATTTTAGAGGAAGAAAACTCTGTTTTCTGTAGGTTCACAGCCAGTACATTTAAAATACTGTTTGTTTTCAAATACTTGCACGTTTTGGGGAACTTCTGTTGTTAGACTTGGGTATTTTGTAGACTTCTCATTTCCATTATCTCTGCAAGAGTAGTGTATGTTGATACCGCTTCATACTAACCTTTTAAAGCAAAGACTAAAACTTCTAGTTGATTAAAAAAATTGCAACAGCAAGGATATTTCAGCATTCCTTCATTTTAAAATGGTACTTATTACAAGAGTAGCAGTGAGCATCTGAGTGTTACTGCTGCCTTTCTCTAGGTAAGGTACGGTTTGAAGTGGATGGTGCCTGGGACCATTAATGTGGAGAGGGGAAAAGTCCTGTTACCTTTCTAGAGTAAACAAGTGTTGTCTGTTTTTTCTACAGTGCAAGCAGGCTACTGAAGATCACATTAAACCTTAAACTGAACTGTTGTTTAAATTAAAAAGATGGTCATCTCTTAACCAGCGAGTACATAATGGCATACCAAGTACTCAAAAATTGTTTTTATTCACTTTGAGTTGCCACTTCTCTCACTTCTTCATATCATAGCAAAGTTATTCTCCAGTGAAATAATCTAGCCCCTGATCAGGCTTTGAATAAGGGACTGCATCTTAATGATCAGATGTGTCTCATCTTGATTCTTCCTGCTCAGGCTTTTTTTTGACAAGCATTATTTTTCTTGTGTTCCTGGATCTTGTAGACTGTACAGGAGCTGAGAAAAAAGTCCTTTTGATTAGATGCACCCATTCTAAACAGTCAATATTTGGTGCTTAAGATCATCCTAACTTCCTAGTTATTTTCTCCTGTCTGTATTTTTTTCTTTTTTTTTTTTTTTTTTTTTTTTTAGTCAACTTGCAGAAAATATGGGAAACTTGTCTCATATAACAGCTGAGGATGTGGCTAGGTTAAGGCAGGAAACAGCTACCCACAATGCAATGTTACATACACTACCACTTAATAAAATTTATTTCAAACATGCTACTGACAAAACCAAAGAAAAATAATATCCTAACTATGCTAGTTAGTACACTAAATATATCTAGGGAAAAG